GGACGACATTGGGGTCCTCCCAGGTCTGTGCAGTTAGCACATCCCGTGTTTCAGGATCTTGCAGAGACTGGACTCACGCGTGGGAAAGCACCGTAGTTCCAGAGATAGCCCTTGTGTGGGAAGCAGTTGCGGACGAAGCGAAGCTTGCCCTTCTTGGTGTCCTGCTTGATGGGGTTCATGAAGTCGTCTTTGGAGATCTGCCAGTGTCAGCGTGGACGTATATCGACTTTGCCGGACAGACTCACCTCCTGCTTCGCGTTGGTCCAGCGAGGGATCTCAACGATCATGTTGAGGATGGTCTTCTTCTCATCAGCATAGAGAGGGATATCGTGGAAGGGCGAGACCGGGACGCCATCCTTCTCGATGAAGGCCCTCCACTCGAGGGTGTTGAGCGCACCGACGTTGCGGACGGTGTAGCTGGACATGCTGGATGACGAAGACGTAGAGAGATGCCGTGATAACAAGGCAGTGCGACTGATACTTGCTGGCGCCAGTCTGGATGAAGAGAGAGGAGAGGAAGAAGAAGATGAAGCTGAGCGAGGAAGAAGAGAAGAAGAAGTCGACGAGGGGCAGCGAAGGCGGCGGAGGCGGAGGGCAGCCTCGGAGATTGTGGGGGCGATTCTGCCGGCCATCGAAGACCCTGAACTTTCGACCTCGACAGCGTCAACTTCACCCTTCAACCGGACACTTCACGACGCTCAGCCTTCGCAGTTCCTCAGACGACAGTATGATACTCCAGCCGAGCTGGATGCAATTGATGCCTTCTCCTGCCCGGCTGCTCTCTCAATTGATGCTGTTTTCCTCGATGAACTGCCGAGCTGTCGTGCTTCTGATGCAAGGATACAGCTAGGATGCGTCTCACGGCCGTTTCAAGCCAAAACAAGACCTGTTAGACGAGTCAATCGATGCCGCCGCTCGCTTCTGCTTCAGCTGCTGCTGGCCTCTTGACTGCTGGCCTCTTGACTGCTTGCTGCGTGGCTGCTTCGCTGGTTTCTTCTTCTTCTTCTCTTGATGTTTGGTTTTCCCGATCTAGATTCCATGCTTAGGTAAGTGCTTACAAATATTACCGTCTAGAAGGAAAAAAGACTCATCAAGAGATTTGCAGGCAAGACAGAGAGTGATAGAGAGCGATAGAGAGTGATAGAGAGCGATAGAGAGCGATAGCGACGACAGTATTGGGCACGACAGAGTGGGAGATGATATGAACAGGCTGATCCGCTCCGTCATGGCCCTGGGAACGAATTCGGTCACGTCACAGGCTAGAGTGCCCATCCCTCAACATGGAGTCGACTACCGTGGAAAAATCGTGCTTGCGCCCATGGTGCGCTCCGGCGAGCTGCCCTCCCGCCTCGTCTCGCTGAGGTACGGTGCAGACCTCGTCTGGGGCCCAGAGACCATCGACCGCTCTCTTATTGGCGCCGTCAGGCGTGTCAACCCTCGAAACCAGACCGTCGAGTTCACCCGGATCCCCTCGCACCCAGGCCCGGCTTCTGACAAGGTATCAGTCATCTATCGCATCGACCCGGCCAGGGAGAAGGGCAGGCTCGTCTTCCAGCTGGGCACCGCCTCGCCGGAACTCGCCGTCCAGGCTGCCAGAGTCGTTGCGGACGACGTCTCCGGCATTGACGTGAACGCCGGGTGTCCAAAGCCCTTCAGCACCCTTGGCGGCATGGGTGCCGCCCTCCTGCAGACCCCGGACCGGCTCGTCTCGATCCTCGAGGCGCTCGTGCGCGAGGTCGGCCAGCCCTGGCAGATCGGTATCTCCGTCAAGATACGCATCCTCAAAGACCCTGAACAGACCGAAAGGCTGGTCACCGCCCTCTGTGCCACCGGCATCACAGGGCTGACCGTTCACTGTCGCACAACGCCCATGCGCCCCCGCGAGGCTGCCATACGCGACCAGCTGCCCATGATAGCCTCCATCTGTCGCTCCGCGGGCGTGGCATGCCTCATGAACGGAGACGTCAAGTCCAGAGACCACGCCCTCGCGCTCATGAGCCAGTACGACGTCGATGGCGCCATGATAGCCACATCGGCAGAGTCGAACTTCTCCTGCTTCCGTAGCGCTGCAGACGGCGGGCTGGCGTCGTGGCGTGACCTCGCTCACGAATACATCAGCACCGCCATGGAATGCGAGAACAAATGGGGCAACACAAAGTACCTTCTCAACATCTTCTTGCCCGGCAAGGACAAGACCGCTCAGGTCGCCAAGGCCGCCAGAACATACACCCACTGCTGCACCGTCCTGGGCTTTGACGACCTACTCCCTGCCGCTAACAAGGTCGACAGCATCCTAGGCATTTCCGACAGGACAGAGGCGGGCATCAAGCGGAGCGCAGAACTCCTGGCGCCGCCCATCCATGAGAAAGTAGCAAAGACCGATCTTACGACTACGCCTCCTGCCGCCAGGGACATCGACATGTCAATCAACTCTAGTGCCATGACAGGTGATACGCTCGCCAGCCAAATCACCGCATAAAAGGTTACACGGAGCTGTACTCTCTTTTCCTGCATCTTCACTCTTTCTATATACGATACGGCTTGGCGTTCTGGAGCATCTCGAGGGGAGCATTAAAATACATTTCCCGTTGGTCATGGTTCATTTTCTTATCCTTTCATCTTCGAACGCCGGGGCTACCGGCTCATGAAAAATACTTTCAAGAAAATCACGCGCAAACCACATACAAGACTACAAGACAAGATAGATAATTGAAAAAATGGTATAATTATAATTTATACTCTAGAAAGCTAGGTTCATAACAGCTGGAAACATTAAAATCTCTTTACATGAAGACGCTGTGGTGTCCGCATCCACCACCAGGCATAGACTGGCCACGGGGGCTCACGTCACGCTTACCCGTCTTTGGGCGGGTTGGGAATCCGCGCAGCGAACTAGCATACTGAGCAGTGGCATACGCGATTCCTCGAGTGTTGAGGTAGATAGCACCCTTGTTGATGTTGTCTACAGTGTCGCCCTTGCCGTGGTAGTTCTTGTCATAAGCAACGCCAGCCTCGCCGCCAAATAGCTTAGCCTGCTCGGCGGTCTTGACGACCTCAGCACCAGTAAACAGACCTCCGGCAGGGACGTTGCGCTTGATGAAGGCAGAGTAGTCGGAGCGGCCGGTGAAGGCGGTGGGCTGGTGTGGGATTCCCTGGTCATCGAAGAACTTCTCGAACAGGTACTCGATTTCAGCAGATCCGGCGGGGCCAGTCATGTTGTAGGCGGAGCCGTCTCCGTCGTAGATCTGGTTGGCGAAGTTGGGGGAGCCAATCATGTCGAAGTTGAGGTACAGCTTGACCTTGTGCAGTTCACGGTCGTCAAGGCTGTCGACGTAGAAAGTGCTGCCGAGAAGGCCGAACTCCTCGGCGGTCCACCAGCCGAAGCGGACGGCGTTGTTGACCTTGAAGTTGGTGAGGGCTTTGGCAACGGTCATGATACCAATGGTACCGGAGCCGTTGTCGTTGATACCAGGGCCGGCGTCGACAGAGTCAGAGTGAGAACCGAGCATGATGACGTTGTTGTGGTCTCCTCCCTTGGTCTCGGCAATGACGTTCCAGCTATAGAGCAGTGTTAGTACGTGTATATATCATTGTTGACCAAAGTATGGAACAATACTCACGTAGTCCTGTTCTCAAACTTGCTGATAACGTTCATGGTGACGGTAACCTTGCCAGAGGCGACAAGGCTAGCGAGGTTCTTTCCATCAGCCTGAGAGATTCCAGCAGTTGGAGCATGGCGGTTGTCAAGGCCACCCAGGGTGCCGGCCAAGCTTCCAGGGACGTTGTTGTAGACGATGGCACCAATAGCCTTTGCATCGCCAGCCTGAGCGGACTTCTCGCCAAAGCTGCAGACACCACGCTCGATGAGGACAATCTTGCCCTTGGTACCCTCTGGGTAATCAGTCTGTTTGCAATTGTCAGCTCTTCTGAATTTCCAAGCGACCAGTCGATATATAGAATGGAAAAGGGGCGCACATACAGCATTGCATCCCATGTTCTTGGCCAGGACAAGCTCGGCAGTGATCTTGTCGGCTGGAGGGCTGTAGGACATGGCACTGGCAGTGAGATCCTTGCCATTGGCATTGACAGCTGCCTCAGCATGAGACCACAGGTGGACTTGTGGCTGCATCTTCACATCGTAGTAGCCGGTAGCCTTGAGCTCATTGTAGATCCAGTCGACGGTATCCTTGTGGCCAGCACCACCGAATACTCGATTCTTCTCAGGGTGAGCGTAGGCGAAGTCTTGGAGTTTCTGTACGCCAGCCATAAGATCCTTGAGCTTAATCTTGTTTTGCAGGTCATCCTATACATTTACATCAGCACATGATTCTCCAGTATTTTTGCTTACTGTAGAGCGATAAGTGACAGGGACAAGAGGACGATCGATCGATCTTGTGTATATACTCACAGCATTAACCAACGGCTTGAATGGCCAGTTCAAGGCATCCTCAGCAATAACGCCCTGAGAGATGGCCGTGAGGGCAACTCCCAGACTCAACAACTGTGTCTTCATGATGGTTTCTGTGATGTGCAAAACGAAGGGATGAAGGGCACTTTGGGAAGAGGTAGCTATTGAGATGGGATTTCCTCGTCGAAGATCCTGCCGATCTCATCCAAAAGCTGGGGACGAGCTGCTTAATATACACCAGCTGCCCGGAGGCTGAGGTCAACCGTTTTTTTTTTTTTTCAGTAGCCCGTCCTCTCTCGAGTCATCTCTCTCGGTTCATTACGGGGACCAAATTTCCCATTCCCACGGCCGCAACCTGCCGGTTGTTCGGGATTTCGCTCTTGATCGCATGGGTGTGCATCCAGGAACCCAGAGCAGAGTAGGGCTTTCTTCCAAAACTTTGCTGCTTCGGGTTGGATGTCTCTCCTCGGAATTTGATTCTGGGTGGAAAAAGCTGTGCCTGTCTATTTCTCCCCCGCCTTCCCCCGCAAGTCAATTGCTGAGCTGGATGTACCATAGTATAGTAGGCGAGCGTATAACTTGCAGGTCCCCCAGGCATTCCCCAGCTCGAACCCCATGCAAAGCTGATTTTCCTCTGCTGTCGATCCCTGCAAGCAGGGATATCATCCATCATGCTAAACTGCTCGCTTCACCTATCTAGCTTCCTTGGCGGTTAGGGGTCTCACAGAGCGAGATAACTGTACAACTCGCCCATTGTTATCTTCAGTGAAGAGCAGGCATAGTTATCGTACCCCATTCTCCGCAGCGTCAATGCCGGGGAGCAGCCCGGGATGTCCATATTCGTCTTCGGCTTTGGTCTTCCGCGAGACATACTGGATAGATGTGTCATGCTGTCGTGGTATCTGGCCATGATATCTATTGATCGGGGATATAAATTTTTCGACCTTGGGATGGGGATATTAATTCCTCTCCACCGTCGCCAAGGCCAAGAGGTTCCATTTATCCCGAAGAAACAAAAAGCAACATACTATGTAGGCGGCAAGAGACAGCAAGCAAGACCTGGCTGGTGACTGGTGACAAAAAAAAAGAACAGGCCGAAACGAGAGGCGGCGTGGCTTGGTTTTCCAAGTAAATATGGGGAACCCAGAGGCAAATTATGGAAATCTCCCTTTGGCCTCCCTTCTCGAAGTTTTCGCCCAGCTTTTAATTGCGGTCCAACTGTCGTCACGAGGAGCAAGCAAGGATATAGCGAGTTCTGGGACTTTCTTGAGGTGACATTTGGGCGACGGGCTGGCGTAGATTAACTCTTCCTGGAGAGCATGCCGAGAGGATCGAGATCGTGTTCCCCAGTCCTTGAAATGAGCTCTCCCCGTATTACATAGTAGTATGGTCCTTCGTCTGTATTAGTGTTGTCTCTATGGACTGGCATCATGGAGTTAAGAAACTCTTAGCTTTTCGTTTGCCTCTCTGCTTCTCCCATGTCCACGGTCGAGGAGGATTATTCTAGGTGCCCAGCTCCACGCGAAAAGAAAGGCTACAGTCGGATGATCTTATTCCACACACATATCAGTTATACGGATGCCATGGGTTTGGGCCCTTGCCTGGGTCGAAGCGAAGCGGGCGAGATAACGCTGTTCCCGCCGCAAGCGTGACTTAACTCTGGGGTAGAAGCAGAGAGTGATGACGTCCTGTAGGCCGGGCACGTCGGTGGATTCTCCTTGCTGTAACCAAGGGATGGCTTCGACAGCGAGTTTAGTGCTCGTAGAATATTCTGGGTTGTCATTGTCCACTGTCGCCGTCGTTGTCGTTATGTTGAGCGTGAAGTCGAAGATTTCCCAAAACGGCGTTTCCGAGGCGCTCCGCCCAGCATCCTGTATATGTAGGTAGGATGCATAAGTATATAAGAAAGTGCAATATAAGAAATCCGCAGCCAGGGGTAACCAGCAGCCAAGAGAGCCCATGTTTAATATTCCGGTCTTATCATTGCCACGGTTAAAAGTATATAGTTACCGGCCATGTATATCATATGTAAGTGGCCATCCTACATCCATCTACTCTTGCACATATCACCGGTGCCATCGAGGAGAGACATCGCTTGGCTGCGTTGCGAGATATCTATAGAACACTTTGATATTGACTTGACAGCCCGCTTTATTTTTACGGGATTAGACTCTCGGACGTATATATTATCTATATTTCAGTGTTTAAGACCCTGATTATCTTCAGCTAGAAGGTTCAGGAAGGTCAGGAACACTTCTTAGTGGAATTCTAGGCTGTAAGTTAACTCTAAGTGGGAGCCTATGAGGTGCTGGTGAAATAGGCGAGCCGACAGCTCATCAGGCACTGGTTCGCCCCCAGACATGCGAGATTGATACAAGAAATCTATGTTGGCCAAGGGGGTATCTTCACATGGCCGGCATCGAAAATGGGGTATCTGTTAATCGGAGGGCGAAGGCATCAGCCAGATAGATGGAGGCCACACAGCAAGTACGGAGAATGGAGCCAGAACAAGGGGGGAGTGACGTGATGTGTAATGATAACGGTGCATGGCATCAAGAGCTATTCTGGCCCTCCAATTCAAGTGTCGATATGACCAGCTCCTCCACTGCCTTAAGGTTTTCATCGTCCCGTTTTCCGCCGAACGGTGCGCCTTCATCTTCCCCTGCAACTCTCTGATCCAACGCTAGTTTTGTCTGTCCGAGTGCATGGATCTGCTCTTCGATTGTTCCCCTTGTCACAAGGCGTACCACTTCGACCTCACGTGTCTGGCCGACACGGTGGGCACGGTTTTCCGCCTGTATGTCTTCCTGCGGATTAAAGCTCGAGTCGAATATGATTACTTTGTTAGCGCAGGCCAAGTTTATCCCTGCGCCGCCGGCCTTCGTTGACAGCATAAACACCGGAATATCCACTTGCTCATGGAAGGCATCGAGGATTGATTGTCGGTCTTCAACACTGGTCGTCCCGTCGAGGCGGAAGAATTTGATATTTTGTGTCTCCAGGACCTGCTCCAGGATGTCCATGACCATCGTGAACTGGGAGAATATTAAAATCCGGTCGCCGTTTGCGATAAAATTAGTCAGGAGCTCGCAAAGCTTATCGACTTTCCCAGACATCATCCATTCCTTATTTTTGAGCGAGAACCTGCCAAGTGAGGCGGGGCTGCCTGTACATAGGGTATGACATTCGAAATCATTGTATTCGCGAAGTTCAGTGTAAATTTGGTCAGGGTCAGAATGCGCCCACTTTTCATCTTTCAGGCATGCCTTCGACATTCGACTTAGTGTCTTATCATCGTAGAACCGACGGTAGAAAAGTGGATGAATTGCGGCTTGTCGCAATTTCATCAGGATGTTAGATGATTTGTTTCTCGTCGATTTCTTTCCCGCCGCTCGGTCGGCTATATGCTGCTTCACTGACTCGATCTCGTTCTGGTAAATCTCCTGTTGAAACTCATTCATTTCGCAGTACTCAACACGGGAAATTTTAGCGGGCAGGTCAATCACCTGATGCTTTTTACGCCGCAATACAAATGGCATAAGCATGGATTTTGCTCGAGCAATTCGCTGTGCTGATAGCAAGGCCGAGTGTGTATCATCCACTGTTTTAGCCTTGGCCCTGAATATGTACTCGAGATCATCCTTCCGTTCTCTGAAAACTGAGGGTAGGATGAACCCAAGCAATGAAGCTAGCTCCTGGAGGTTGTTTTGAAGAGGAGTACCAGTAAGAAGTAGACGGAACTGTGCTGGTATGCGGATAAGCTTCTCATAGAGTTGAGATTTACTGCTTTTCAGCATATGGCCCTCATCGTAAACACAAACATGAAAATTCATCGACCGAAGGAATGCCGCATCGACCTTGGCTTTCGCAATGGTGTAGGTTGTGATGACAACGTTGATATTATCCTTGTTGTCCTCTATTTCCTGTCTAATTTCTGCTCGGGCAGCTTGGCCTGCATAGTAGGGCATTGTCTTGAGCTTTGGACAGAATAGGGAAAACTCGCGGAGCCAGTTCTCAAGGGTCGAAGCTGGGACAACGACCAAATGAGGCCCAGTAACACCTATTTCAAGGAGATGGGAAAGGAAAGCAATAACTTGGCAGGTCTTTCCTAGCCCCATATCATCGGCAAGAATACAACTAAGGCCTTGGTCATAGACCAATTTGAGCCAGTTAATTCCAACAACTTGATAATCCTTCATCGTAATTGTGTCACTCATTATAGCAGGCTGGGAAATGAATTTTCTGCCTCGGGATTTATCTTTGATGTCGTCCGCATCCTCGCTCGAGCATCGACGACTAGACGGGCTTCCAATACCAGAGTCTTGGATTCCATCTGGCGATGCCTTGTCAAGAGAAACTAGTTCCAATTCGCCGCCATCCTTCCTCGACCCAAATATGTCCACTCCCCAACGTTCTATCTCTGTTGCTATGGGTTTTCCAAGAGATTCACATTGCGCGACCAATGCATCAACTGCCTCGTAACCTATCCACATATCCAAACATTTGTCAACCACTTTATCTCCGAAAAGCTTCTTGGAGATTTTCTTTTTACTTGGAGGTTTTCCTGAGGTATCGGGTTGTTCAATCGAGACACGTCGCGCAGAAGCTAATGTCGAGAATGGCCTTTGTGCAATGAATTCGCTTGCAACTTCAAGTGTAATCTCGGCAATATCAGCCAGATCATCTGGAGAACATGAATTAAAAAAATCCAAGACCTTTGCTTCCTGGGATCCATCGTCAGGAGTTTGAATTTCAGCTTCTGAGCCTGAAGAGTAGTCGTCCTCAAGAGGGATTTTTGGGGAGGCTGGCCGAGCTCTACCACGTGCAGCAAGCTTTTTGGGTGGCTTAAGGAGTGTAGATTGTTCGGAGTTAGTGGTATCCGCAGGTGATTCCTGACGGGATTTAGGCCCTCGTATTAGACGCCGGCGTGGTGCCTGCGGCTTCTCGTCTGACTCTGGGCGGGGAAGCATGGGCTGTTGGCTGGCAGTCCACTTATCCTGGATTCGACCCTTGGATTTAATTTGCTGTTTTACAGCAGAGACTCGAGGAAGCTCGCAATCCAAGCTCAATTCATCCTCGGACATTTGATTTGTGGGGTTTCTTTCTTCCGACGTTGCAATATACTCAAGAGCATGTTGGTAATTACCGCGATGCTGCATAAGGGTATCCAGACAAAACTTAACTGATTTATTGGGGTATACTGAGCATAATCTCTGAACTTTGGTTTTTAGAGTGAAATCTTCTATTTGAATAAGCTGAATGTTGTTGTCGTCAGACATAATGGATGCAGTCCGATTTCGTTTATTGCACACTTCTGAAAGGCTCGTTGCTATGTTCGCATTATCAGCGGATCGTTTTTGGCCCTTTTGTAGGTCTGAGTTATAGAATGCAGCTGCGGTGATTTCGCGAAATTTGGCTAGAGAACTTCCAGATGCTGAAACAGGCGATGGTATGTCTCCATCTTTCTCCGGGCTTTGAGCTGCTTTTGCAAACGTCGAGGGCCTTATATCTGTAGTTCGCACAGTAGAAAAATCATCGTCTGAAGACCCACCGCGGTAGGTAGGCCCATCATCTTCGCTAAGATCTATGACCGGTGTTCTTCTGACTGGGCCTGTGGCAAAGGCTGGAGGTCGAAAGTGGGTTCCGCTAGGTGCAATGGACTCTGAGAAATTCCGATTCGAGCCTTGCACTGATGGGCCGAGAGGGGATGAGCCAGCTACTTGGACCACGGAGCTACGCTGTGGCGAGAGCTTTGCATGATTCGCATGCTGGACGATTTGGGTGGGTTGGGTCAAGATTTGGGTCGGTTGAGTCGGTAGGAGTGGTTGCTCGCCGTTGATGGGAACAGTAGCTATTGTATCCTGTTCCAAAGCCTCATGGGCATCAGAGGCTGCTTCGGTGCCCATATACAGAGCCTTGCGCGCTGCAGCCATGTTCCGTAGAGGGGTGTCGAGGATGCGGTCCTCCATATCTGCTCGCTACCTCTCACAATATCGAGAAGCTTATTCTGTAACAACCGAAGGCCATAGTGTCATGGGCACACAGTGTTTCGGTCGCTAAGTGAGGCAGCAAGAAAGGCTCCTAGCACAAGTATGGCGATATCAGAACGATACTGAGTGAGAAAGACGGGAAGCAAAATATTTTGATGTGAACCAGAAAAAAGTCCAAGTCCATAAAAAAAAAAAAGAAGCGCCGAGAGTAGTTTTTATCACGTGATACAGTGTTATAGTCACGTGATTGGTTGAGGCTCAAATCAAGATTTAAAAAAATGAACGAAATATGAGAGGAAAAAGAGAAAGAAATGAAACACATAAAGAAAAGTGGTAATACAAATGATAAATAATAAATAAAGAAGAGATAAATCTTGAATCGTAAAGTCTCTACAATATCTTGAAACCACCTCATCTACCAACTTTTCACAAAATACTAGTGCCATTTACTCCATGTCTCTCTATAAGAGTAACTTTAGCTGAAATACTTTATACCAGTAACAAATGCTACGCCTTGTGGGGTACTCTGTATACAAGCTCTGCAGCTTGTCTACTGACTGCTAGATGCTACTGATTATAACAGCATTTATTTAATTCGTCAGCTACACGCCTTGTCCCTGCCAAGTCATCGGCCCGCTAGTTGCCACCATTTAAGCGCGTAGTGGAGACGTTATTTGTCTTGGCACCAATCTTGATTTGGCAGCCAGCTATACTCGGCTTCAGATACTCCAGGAAAATTTAGTATAACTAACTGAAACTCCTTCATTGGTAGATTATACACATAATTTTGTCGTATCCGCTTGGGCTTGATCAGAATTCTCGTCTGTACAGCAGCAGCTGAACAAAGGCCAACAGTTTGGACATGGAGCAGACATCCCAGGTGCAAATAAGACAATTAGTAGTGTAAAATGTATGTAAGTAACTCGAAAGTTGGAAAAGGAAGACAACATGCTGTTAAAGACCCTAAATTTCTTTGAAGTAAATAAGTTGTTCACCACTAGGCTCGAGATATCACCACGGAATTCAACTTAATATTAAATAAAATATAATAAACAACCGCAAGAATTAAACCTACTATCCGGAAAAGAGATAATCATGGCCTCACTCAGAGGTTTTTATATGCATTCCATCCACTAAAAGGGTAGAAACACATATATGGACTAGGAGATGTGTGACTTCTCTAGACCTTAGACAGAGATGCCTGTAGCAGAGTACTTATAATTCGTGTTAATGAAACACAGAAGTGCTTTAAAAATATTATTTTATCCGGAAGTTTCATGTAAATAATACCTAGGTGGTTATCGCTGGAGTACTTTCAGCCCTTTTTCTATTGGCCATTTCCAAAATTTCGCTCAGCCCTCGATATGCAGGAGCTAGCTAGCTCACGTTAGTATTCCCTTGTAGACTTGTTGCTCGCTGACTGGCTGTCACCTGCATTCAGTCTTATTTTACTTGTGGGTCATTATTGTGGTGTCGGCCTATAGGCTTTCATCAGCATGAAGGATATTATTGGTTAATAACATATTGTCGGATTTGAGAGCACCTACACAGCCATCGATACTATGCCTTACAGTAGAAATGATAGATGCCCCTAGATATAATGTGGGAGTTTTTTGGGTATAAATTCACGTCCTGCCCGGAAGGGTCCCTCTAACCAGTTTGACCTATTTGTGCTTTTGGCTGAATAAAATGGCTCTGTCGACCGAAGCTATCATCTCCCTTGTTACACTTCTCGTTACTTGCCCTTCTGCTTTATTGGCACTATGGTCCTACGTATCGCATCTCCAGACATGGCCGGGTGAATATAATGGTATTTTCAATATCTCTGAATGCTCATCAAATGTTGTGAGAGAAAGCTAATCAGTCATGGGATTAACAGATATTACCCTCCAAGAACAGAGCCCGGTCTGATGATGCGCTTGCTGCGGATATTCAAGCTCCAACATTCTACATGGTATGATATCTACTTGAACCAAGAAGGACAGACGACGCATAAGCTAACCTCACCACCAGCAGGTGAAAATATCAATGGAACCCTCGGCCCCATCCGCTTCTCAATAGCCGCTCTCGCAGAGAACATGTCGTTTCAAAGGGAATTCAAGGTTGAGGTATACTGTATTAGAAATTAGAGTGGTGATATATCGATGAGGAAATATTGAGAGACTGCGTTTGCTTTTAATGTAGCTGCTATAGAATTTTGTTTCCCACATTCAATCAGCTCTTTGTTTTTGGGCAGTACTCCTGAAATCATCGTACTAGATTTTGATCGGAAATTAAGCTTTGTTAATGGGTTAGGTAGTGATACACAAATCATCGAAGTGCTCTCATAAATCTCTCGATGCACCTCAAGAGTAGTAATTCAACTCCTCGATGACTATACCGGAAGGGATAGGGAGAGGAAAGCCTATAATTATCCACTCCTAACAGATCAGTAGGCAATGTATTGCAAAGCCTAGTTTTTCCTATAGGCCTTTATGAATCTGCTAATTGCAAAATGTCCATGTTTAAAGGCCAATTTCGAAGCCCTCGTTCGCTTAAGCTCCAAGTCTTCAGTATCCGGATGGTGGTTCAACAATAAGTGCAGTGTATCCAACCTGCCGTTTTCTGCTGCCCCTTCAATAGCTGTACGGCCATTCTTTATAGCCGGTGCACCATTGATATCAGCACCTGCGGCAAGCAACATCATGACAATCCTAATGTTTCCCGCAATTGCTGCACCTTGGAGTGCCGTAACTCCGCTGTCTAAAGCAGCAGGGGCATTCACCTCTGCGCCACGTTGGAGAAGAATCTTGATAAGCCGAACGTTTCCATTACTCGCTGCTGCTTGCAGCGCAGTCCTTCCATGAGTAGGGCTTGGGGGGGCGTTGACGTCAGCATTATTGTCTAAGAGAAGCCGAACAATATCCAAGTTTCCGCTTGACACTGCCTCCTGAAGAGCAGTGAACCCAGGATAAGATTCATTAGCCGGCGCATTGATATTGGCACCACGATCAAGAAGTGCTTGTACAATATCGATATTTCTGCTTCTTACCGCGGCTTGGATCGCGGTAACGGGGCCATATTTAGAGCATGACCGGAAGTTAACATCTGCACCCGCGCTTAGAATTGTCTGTACAAGGCTATAGCTAGCTCGTTCGGCAGCGTCCTGAAGAAGGACACGACCGGCGGGAATACCCGAAGCCATATCGATCCTAGTTGGATTAACATCTGCCCCGGCCTTAATCAAAATTTTGATCAGATCTTCGTCGATAGTCCAAGTCCGTACTGCTAGACTGAGTATATTCCTCTCATGATTTGCGACGGATAATGTAGAGCCATTCTCAAGTAGGAATTTGACGATTTCGAAGTTTTTCTTCTCCACTGCGGCTTCAAGAGCTGTAACTCCAAAGATCCTCGCTGGCGGCAAATTAGGGTCAGCTCCAGCCCGATATAGCGCTTTTACTACCGACAAAGAACCACCTTCTGCCGCCGCCTGCAGACATGTTCTACCTTCAGATAGGAATGCGGGAGTGTTGACATCCGCACCGTAGCTTAAAAGTAGCTCAACCAAGGTAATGTTGCCTTTGTGTGCAGCTTCTTGTAGAGGAGTCAGTGGGTTATTGTAGCTAGCGGGAACATTAGGATCAGCTTCTGCTGAAAGAAGAAGCTTTGCAATTTCGATGTTGTCACTTTTGGCTGCCTGTAAGAGAGGTGAGTGGCTTGACAGGTGAGCTGGAAGATCAACAGTCGCTCCAGCTTTGAGAAGCAGTTGGACTGTCTCTTTCTAGCCAGCCTTAACTGCCGCTTACAACGCCATAACCCTGTCAAAGAGGCCTGGTACATCATTAATATCTGCTCCGGCTTTCAGTAATGTCTTCACCATCTCTGTGTTATTATCCATAGATGCAGCAGTCTGCAGAGCAGTTTTTCCACCGACGTCGCTAGGTCTCGCATTGACATCTGCTCCAGCATCTATCAATATATTAACTGCTTCAATATTTCTTGCTCGCACCGCAGCCTGTAATGCAGTCATGCCTCTCCTCTTACTAGCGGGCAAATTAACACCAGCTCCAGAATTGATCAAGAGAGTCAGCAACTCGTTGTTGTTCGACCCCATTGCAGCAGCCTGAAGAGCAGTCAGGCCATTATACGGCCCAGCTGGAGCATTGATATCAGCCCCTTTCCGTAGCAAAAGGAGAACTAGTCTTTTATTTCCAGTTAGTACTGCAATCTGAAGTGCAGTAAACCCGTAGTCGTTCCGCGATCTGGCATCGATATGGGCACCGACGCTAAGAAGCAAACGAACCATGGCCATCTCCCCTGCCTTGACTGCTGCTTGCAATGGAGTAAAAACAGGGATAGGATAGAAATAAACCCAATCATCCTCATCATACTCATAATCCGGATATGATAGTTCATCTTTGAGCTCTTCCTCGCAGCATGTTGATAACGATGCATTGACTTCTGCCCCAGATTCTAAGAGAAGCTGAACGGCTTCCCAGTTACTGTATTCAGCTGCAATCTGGATTGGTGTCCTGAAAGTCTCAGCACCGCCTTCGCAATTTGAACAAATATGTAGGTCATCGGAGTCCCTGTGCGGTGTGTGGGTAGCATTGACGTCGGCCCCAGCGCCAAGCAGCATATCAACAATTTCCGCGTTTTTGTGCTTGCACGCAAGTTGTAACGGAGTGAGGCATCCTAATGCAGCCCTGTTTGGGTTTACCTTTGCATCTAACAGGAGCTGTACAACGTCGGGTCGGCTCTGCCGTACCGCAAGTTGTAGTGGTGTCTTTTTGGTCGCAGCTAACTGTGGGTCTGGTTTTGCCCCCGCTTTAAGGAGCATCCGCACAAGTTCCAGGGTGTGAGGTTTCCAATAGCCAAACACGCTACAAAGAGGCGTTCTCCCCTCTCCACCTGTATTTGGATTTGCCCCTGCGTCTAGGAGCATCCTAACTAGTGGAATGCAATTGGGCCCTTCCACGTCAAGAGCTTCCTGAAGGGCAGTACTCCTGATTGTCATACCGCTCGGTACATCGGTTTCCGTTCCAGCATCAATCAGAATCTTCGATGTTTCTATATCCCCCTGCCTCATCGCGATTCGTAACAAGTTGGAGGCAAAAACCTGGGCGGTGGTAGATTTGGACCGAAGGACGTCCTTTAACAAGTAGCGAAAGCCATTTTTAGTCAGCCATCGAAGCAATTTCTCTGTTCTATAGTCTGTCAGGAGATTATTGGAAGAAAGATAGACGCAGAACTGAAAGAATTGGAGTAAAGCATTTGACTTTGAGTGTCCAAAGAGCTTTTTGGTGCCTCTTGCCAGATCACCGTCGCGCTGTTCAATCATGACAGGTTCCAGGGATCGCGTAATATCGCCAATGTCATCTCCCGCTGGAAAATCAAGCGTGTGTCCGCGTTCTTGTAGACATTCAGAAAGCATTTTTCTTGCCTCGTGAAGTAGCTCTTTGGGCACGGATCCAACAATCGCATTGTCTTGACTGTTATGTGGTATATCTTGGGCCGTGGAGTAATATTGCTGGTACACGATTGCACTTTGAGGCAGTGTATAGTTAAAATCAAAAGCAGACGGATCTCCCAGAGTCTCAATCAGATTTAGAAAGGTATCAAAAGGTGTTTGAAAGCTAGTATCAGAAGAGCTGATATCTAGCTCTCTTGTATTTTGAGCTCCAACTATTTCAAGTCAGCAATTCCCCACTATTTCCAGACAATAAGTCAGAGAATTAGCCTTACAAAGGCTCAGCTGGTCATTCTGAAACTGAAAGCAAGGGAGATCATTCAGATGCAGAGAAATACCAGTATCAATAGCTGCGTCAGCCTGGATACAGCCTGGGCTCTGAGGGCCTACATTAAGAATAAGCTGTTAGAGAAACGCTTTCTCTAGCTGGACAAATCCAATAACCGCCTTACCTGGATCACAGTAGTCGTTGGTATCCACTGGAGTGCAAACTTTGATTCCATCGGGGGTTGGCGGAACTAGAGATATAAAAATCGATCAGTACCAGAGAGAATTCCCACTAGTTATATTAGAAGAATCATCTTCCTTACCCTCCAGACACGTATGCTGATAGCTGAGAGAAACATTACGAGCCACCTCCTTCTTGAACGTTTCCTCAGAAACCCGTTTCCCGCGGCTATACGTAGCGGTCTCTTCCTTTCCTTCTCGCTTCCGTTTCCGTGTCATGCAAAACGCATATTCCCACCGTTCTTTTGCCGTGGACTTTTTGAAACCCCATTGTGAGAAATGATGACGGTATTCAGGCTCCCTATAGAAGGTCAACATACATTGGGAGCATGTAGCAGGATAAAAGGACTAACGTTTTACAGAAACGGCGCTCTCCTTTCATATAATCCGCTATCTCCCCCGCGGTATTATTCTTGTACAGCTCCCTAAGTTCCTCCCGGTGCTGTTCCCATTCAGAAACAGTATTCCTTGCGCGTGTCTTCGGCATGGTTTCAGTAAAGGCCTCTCTGGTGCTTTTTCTCAAGTCAATCTTTAGGGTTGTTATCCGCGATGACCAAGAGATTCCCTTGGGCTGGCTGGTGGTATATATACCCAAACCTCTGAGCATACTTGCTCATGCTCACCCGGCGGTGTAGAGGCATCTGTATACTCTCGATTCTCAACCATCTTGTCTGCCATAATGTTATTGGGCCAGGCCTGAATTGCAGAAGGAGATGCTCAGCCTCGCGACTGGGCAAAGGGCAGACTCACATGCATTCATAGTCGCAGACGCAGCCCCTTGTGAACTCATCGGTTGTCCAACGCTCACTGGTCAAGCTTGCACATTTTCTGATGAATAAACCCTTGTAAAACCTCTCCCTTTTTCTGCAAGGGTTTAGTGAAGCGGTAAAAGTGTTGGATATTCATCTCATTGGTGTATTCCAAGATGTCGCGTTTGAATGTTGACCGACCGGGCAAAGTGAGAACGAAAAGAAGCAATTATTTATCAGGACTGAGAAAAGAGAGAAAAGAGGATGTCATTTTTTCGATTAATCTTATATCTTTGACTAGCTGGCGATAGATCGTTGCTAGAAGTCCGAGGGCGTTAATTATCCGTCTTTTTGCATTGGAAGTTTTCTCCACCTTGTCGCTCGATGCTGGTCGAATAATCAGAACTGGCGGCCTGACACGAAAGGCTTCCCACTTTTCGACTTTCAACCAGGTTCAGCAGTCTTCAGAGTACTCTTCAGTGTGTATTAAGAAACAAGAGTCATGGCTGGTGAAGTATTCAACGTATGAAAGGAGCTTGTAGGACATGTACTCCGTAACTCCAACGAACTCCCTGGGCCGGCCGATTCTCCAGAACCGCACTGAGGTTGGCTGCTGGGAAAAGGCCACGAAGATGTTGTTTATCCAGCAGTGCTGGTCCTGGGGCGTTGTCATAGGACATCGCTATCGTATGCCCTCGAGGAGCAGAGAGGCGTATACCATCAAACTGCGGTTTCATAAGAGTGACGTCTTTCCCATCAAGAGATGGACGAACGAGATGTTTGGTTGTTATTACAAGGGACTTACTACGCCGTATAATTATATCTGGGTCCCGGTTTGCATTCAAATAATCCATCTTTGAACATGCTCTCGTATATATAGACAGGAGGAGGTCCTATATATATATATACACTACGATTAGCAGTAACTATAGGGCTATACATACATGCTACTGCATATGTCCTGCGTCAGGGACGCACCTGAGATTCCCTTGATTTGGTTGACTGTAGGAATCATGACTCTATCCCTAGCACTAAATGAACATACGAGATGCTCCTCACTGATCCAAGGTATAGACATCGTATGTACATAGTACTTATGTACATTGCTGTGTTTATACCCACTTCAACGGCAAACGCCACCGTTTGGCCACTATCATGGCACTACCAGCTCTCTAGCTAGTCACAGGCATCTCCCCCTTGATCCAACCATCCAGACAAGATGAAATGTTTCCTGCCCAGTGGGACGAACTAAACACTTCGTGGGCCTCCTTGGGCAGCAAAAGGAAAGATTAAAAACTGCTTTGGCCAACGCTAGATTAAAATTTATATTGAAGACGGAGGATTCTAGCGACTTACCACTCTACATATCGTATATAATATCTTCAGGTGGACTCGAGAGAGTCCCAACACAACGACAACAGCAAGCATTGTTCGCTGCTCCCGCCTTCAAGGACAAATCGTTGGTAGCCCCTGAACGGAAGTTTGACGGAGATTGGTCTCTTAACTACTCTCTCCACACCAGAGCTCTAAACCTGGTCGTAAGGCTGGAGTTGAGCATATCCATCCTGTTTATTCACACAACCATCGTCTTCTCTTCTCTCTACTATTCGGCATCGTTCGGCATGTTTGCTTGCTCTCTCAAGGTACATGTGAAACAGCCAACCCCGGCGGAAGGGCAAGGAGGACAAGACTAGACTTCTCCAAGTCGGCTGGACGGATTCGCGCATTTCCTTCTTTCAGGCAATGGCGGGATTGATATGTCTTGTCCGTCTCGTCGTTGACAGCTGCCAATATGGCCGTTGATCCCGGGAAGATAGAAGCCGTTTCGACCCCTGGTTTATGTACGCCCATGCTCCGTACATATGCATATATGGTACATGATCTCTGCGAACTGCATGTACTATGTTATGGTTATATACCTAGGGAGTCCCCTGGTTGGATCCCCTTCATGGATCTAGCCCAGCTCCGGCCTATGGTATCCTCTTCGACCCTCCAGGCTACTGTCGGCCAAACATCGATCGTGGGGCTCATCCGCTGGTGCGAGTTCCAGCGTAGCCACGATAAACCCCGCTATGCTATATAGGCAGAGCCGCCTATCGAGAGATTGCCAGCAGATGCCCTCTTTGAACATCCTTCAAGCCAACAAGAAGACGGCACGGTTGATCTCCCCATCTGGTCCAACGGCCGTCGATATGCCGATTAGAGTCCCCTCGTCCGGCGTCTAGTGTCTTGCTTGTTCTTGTTCTTGTTCTTCCTCTTCTTCCTCTCTCGTATTCGCCATTAAGGGGGAGAGGGAGGGAGAAGTGAGCTTTTGACAGCACCTACAAGGCCGCTAACCTGGCCACTATGGGATAATTGACAGCAAGATTTTGGCTGATTTTCATCCGTGACGTTTTCCGATCGATCCGTATCAGATCCCCATAGGGCTAAAGAGCCCCCCTTGCTGTGATATAAACTGTTTATTCGTCCCCCCCCCCCTTCGTATACAGAGTTGAAGGGCCCATCAGTATCAAGGCCTTTATCCTCCTGAGGACTGCAGCATCAAAATTATACCCCATCAGCATCAGGGCAACCATGCAGCTCCCACCACCTTCAGTGATGCTTAGTTGGCCCATGCCTAACTATGAGAATCCAGCTCATGTCCGTGGTCCTGCGCTCGTCATTTTGACTGCCATCTTCGCGCCGTTGACCTTCGCCGTGGTCCTCGTCCGCGTGTTCACTCGCCTCCATCTATCAAAGAGCTTTGGCTCGGATGATATATTCATAGTCGCAGCCTCAATCCCTGCTATCGCCTGTGGTGTCATCACCGTCCTGGGAGCAGAAAAGTTCGGTTGGAACCGCCATGTCTGGGATGTGCCGCTCAACGAGCTTGTCCTGAGCCTGAAGCTCACTCTAGCGCTAGAAGCCCTCTTTGCGATCGGTTCCTCGCTCACCAAGCTCTCCCTTCTCTGTTTTACACGGAAGATTACTGCTGGCACGAACTCAGTTGTCCTGCGGTGGCTGGTTATAGTTAACATGGCCATTGTTGCACTAGAAATGATCATCTTCTGCATAGTGGTCGTCTTCAATTGTCGGTATGGTAGTCTTGAGTGTCCATATCAAAGATACCCTTGATGCGACGGTATATGCTAATTGATCCTTGAAAACAGCCCTATATCAGCTTACTGGACTCTGTCAACCAAGCCTCAGAAATGCATAAATGAAACGGCGCATCTCCTGGCCGGTGGCATAGTGAACACTCTCACCGATTTCTGTGTCGTTATCTTGCCAATACCGACCGTCATGGCCCTGAAACTGCCCAACAGACAGCGCCTTGTATTAGTCCTCCTTTTCGGCGCAGGTTTCGCAGTCTGTATTGCCGGTAGCGTACGAGTCTACTACGTGTATAAGATGAACACCACATACGATAAAACCTGGGCTGCCTATCCGGTCTGGATCTCCGGCACCATCGAGATGTACCTCGGCGTGGTATGTTCAATGTCCTACTTCTTCAGTCTATAGACTCCCCGAAATACTGATCATTTACCTAGTTCGCTGCCTCACTGGCATCTCTCAAGCCCTTCTTCGTGCGCTATCTTCCCACCATCCTGGGCACTTTTACCTCCCAGCGAGACGTAGTCTCTTCTGTCTTTGCAAGCTCGCGCGCACGACAAGCCGACTCTCGATCCACAGGCCAAAGCAAGAACGCAATTCTCCGCAGCTACCAGACCACTACTACCATCACCTCTGCTGGCCAGGATATAGAATTTGAATCCTTAAACGCCAAGAAGGGGGGGGTAGTAGTATCCCAGGTCATAACATACGAGACCAGAAATGCGTCAGTAGCAAGCATTCAATCCTTGGAAGAATCGCCACAGTCACAGTAGGAGGTAAAGTGGAAGTAATCTGGAATTCTGGCTACCAGGTGATTGATCGATTCGTGATACCCCCGAGTTTTTAATATTTATTTGTATATATATAATTTTAGGGCGCCATGGGATAGGGATTGGCCTACAACCTATATAATGTTCAAATATAAATCTTTATAGCGGGTACGTAGGCGCATACTTCACTCATGCCAACAGCTTTAAATATATAATCAAGATCACCTTCGCTCATGCTTTGATGGTAAATATGATTCCATAAAGACGCTATACAGTGCTAAGCCCTCAACGATGATAGCTAGGTCCCCTACTCCTTGCTTTGGACGACTGTCGAGCCAAAGATTGCAGCTGACTGAAAGACGCCCTCTGGGACATTAGGCGGCATCCAATGAAACACCTCCTATGATGAAAATGTAGATAGGTAATATCAACAAAGGAAATGTGATTTGTGCATGTTAATGAGTGAGAGGACTAGCTAGTTACTGCAGTTATCAATTGGAGGGCCACGAATAAAAGGTACTCTCATACCTCTTATTAGGGTCTCTCAAACAAGGAAAGCTCGGGCGGTCTCCATCTGGGAGGCCGTGTCCTGTACCGTCCTGGGCCAAAAAGCTAGCTTCCTCCACACTGCAAACAGGAATACGAATCATCCCCGGGGCGCGGATGTCATTATCCCAAAGATCAACAAAATCGTCTTTGTTGACAGGATTGACACCTCCAGGGCTACCATCTATGATGTTCAATTTACCAGCGCGTTTCCATGTATTCACAGACCTGAGAACTCGTTAGTTCTTGTAAAAGAAATATTAAGGGCGAAAACGAGACTAAGGGTGCTTACCCAGCAACGAGGTCCTCTACCGTCACCTTGCCAAATTTGGGATCAGGTTTCCGGATTTTATCCAACCCTGGTAGGGAAAAGAGGAATCGCTGATCGATATTGTTGCACCAATCATAATACTCAGCTGTTAACCACGAAGTTAGCATTAATACAACAACGTGTTATGTTTGCCCAGTAAACCACGCTTTCAACGTTCTACCAGTGAGGGCATTTTTTGGGAGCAGTGGCCATGATTAAACGGGAGAAATGAACTTACGTGAACAGTTGGGTCCATCGTTGTCGCGCTCAAAGGTGGAGGCAAGTATATAGTTATGCCCGTCGAGGCAAATCCAGCCCTGGTTGTAGTCCTGTCCGCTCTTGAAATACTGGTCTGAGCCGATATCCCGGTTGCAGTCGGGGCCAAAATCAAGAATAACGGGATAGCTGGCGTATGGCTGTCGCATTTTCCACACATTTGGAATAGCAGCTGCGTAGAAGGCTCGTTCTGCTAGTTTCTGCTCTAGAAAGGAGGCTGTGTGATCGGCGTCCGGATCCGGTACAGCGTCGTGTTTGCCTTCAATCATTTTGCCGTCCATGATGATCTTGCTAAGCTGCTTAATATGCTCGTCAGAGCCATCGAATAATTCCTTTACCAGTGTATCAATCTGTTCGGTCCATTTCCCGATTAGGCTATCATAGAGCGTGTTGAAAGTGACCTCTTTTACTGTTTCTTTCCTAGAGTATACGTTATTACCATCAGTTGGCTGTTTTAACAAGCATCAAAGGGGGTCAAGAAGAACGAACTCAATGAAGCTTTTAGAAATTGTATAGCCTGCAGAGACCAAAGCTTGTGAGGTATCTTTTAGTAGGTCTAGGCGAAGTGGCCTAGTCTGAAAAAAAGCCAAGTTCCTGAGTGCTGTTTCTCCAGTTAGCCAAACCAGTTACTGATATTTTATTAAAATCACTCTTGACATTGTATCTATACTAACCTCCTTTCCAGAAAGCCGTGCCCAGAGTCGTAGATGGAATTAGAAGAACGGTAAGGAGCGTGTTAAGCCAGAGGGGGACGTCAGGCCGGTGTCCCTCAGGAGCAAATGTATCCACAAACTCGTTCTTTTTATTTTGAACCTGAATGGCGGCTTCCTTTAGGGAGTACTGATAATTTTTTATCAACTGAGAACGCTTTTGTTAGTTTATATGGTTCTACTTCAAAGGTTGCCTCTGGCGCTTCGAAGGTGCTGCGAACCCCAAAGGCATATAAGAATAAAATGATAGGAAAATACGTACAACATGGACCTGTGCAAATGAATTCCAGACCAGGTATGAGCACGCCCCAGTCCAGTCCTCTTTTTTATCCGAGGACGAGTGATGAGGATCACATTTAGCATCAGGGCTGCAGTTGTCAACTAATGCCAGGTTATTGCATGTCTAAGGTCTGCTGTTAGTTTACAACCTCAAGATATCTGGTGAAATAGTGACTTACTGCGCTCTCTTCGTGTTTCAGGAAATTCGAAACAGAACTACTGAATGATACTGAACTAGGCCGATCACAAAATTGCCACCTGATCAGTGTATCATTCCAGGCTGCACTACATTCGAGACCTTCCCATCTCTCCTGAGATGTATAATCTAGTCTGCTGGCCACGAACTCTTCGGTGCACTCACGGGTAACCCAAGTGCCAGTTCGAGACTCCTTGTCACAAGCTGCCGCATCACCAGTCTTTTTAATATTTTGCTTTATCTGCTGCCAGCTCAATTTCACATCGGAGCCTTCTATCAGGCTAGGCGGGTCTTGAAATTTATCAAGGTCGACAGCCCAGTTGGTAGTGCCGCCCATGTTGTAACCCTTGTATATGTTGGCCCGGCGGGCACGGACGCTTTCAACCATATATGCCACCCAGTTATCGCCATAGGTCATGATGTTGCTGTCGCTATCTTTATCATACCAGGTATTTGCGCTAGCGGAGATGTCTCTGATTTCGACACTACTATCGTTGCCATGGCTTAAGGATCGGGGTGAGATAGAGCCAGTAGCGATCTCCCTGATCTCGGCGTTACTGATATAGCCGGATGTCGCCGTGCATCTGCCCTTCATCGATTCGCCAGTGAACGTACAAGTTGGCCCAGTACATGACGGATCAGCCATTCGAAAGCTGCGCCCATAACTCGCGACACCAACAATAATCTTGCTAGACGGAACGCCAGCTTTCGTAATCAAAGACTTAGAAAACGTGTCAGCATTACTGATGGTCAAGGGGAAGTTAAAGCACATACAAGAGCGCTAATTGTTTCCGTTAGGTTGATATGGCTTCGTAGGCAGTTTCCGGATGGGCATCCAGGATTTGCCCACTTACTACCGGAGTCCCATTGGCCGTGTAGGTCATACGTCATGTAGACGATATAGTCGACAATTCTAGAGATGCCCTTGATGGGGAATTGCTTAAGATACCAATAAGATGCTGGTGCAGCAATTGACAAGGATTTTCCTGAGTTGAGCTTGGATTTAAGGATACTTAAGAATGCAGCGTACGCGATACCCTCATAAGCGTCATCTGGTGGCGGAATACCAGGTATATCAGGTGCCTAGTCATAAAATGGTGCTAAGTGTTAGTATCTTTGAAGGTGACGGATCTTAGGTTAGAAGATTGAGATTAGTGCCTACCCCAGGATATTCCCAGTCAATATCGACACCATCTAGGCCGTTATCGTTGATGAACTTAGCGATGTTGGAAGCTAGTTTCTCCCTATTTGCTGTCTTCACACCGTTCCGGAAAACTTGATAGTGTGGCAGTTCAGCAGAAAAGGCCCAGCCTCCAAAGGACAAGATTCGCTTGAAGCTGCGTATCTTCTTGAACTGTTCGAATTGATACTTCTGATACTCGTCTTCTAGGTAGACTTCAAAGTCATCCGTAAGAACAGCAAAGGCAAAGTGAACATGAGTGTAAGACGAGTCAATTTGACGGACGTCCATATTCAGGCACTCCCTGCCCAAGTTGAAGGCCTCGAAATACCCAAGCTTGATGAACTGTGCCGGGGGGTCACCTTTAACGATATCCATACCGCAGTTGGATATACAGCCGTAGGTGCCTTTTTTTGCCGTACCCGGTGCCCCATCCCCGCGAGTATCAATGCAGAAATCTTCCGTCGTACCACACTGGCCCCACTGTGGTTCGTTGCATGTCAGTTTCAAAAGCATAGGGCTGTATAGGGGGCCTATTTTGCTCCCCAAGAAGGGGCTCAATAAATATAACTCACAATGTTGCAACAAGTGTTGAGGGGACATGGGTTCAACTCTGAGATATTGGCGCCCTTTGGAGGTATTGGTGTGCCAGGTTTCTGCGGGCCACATATGGCATTTGCAATTGGGGCTGGCATAGGCGGATCGCCTTTGCTGAGGCACATCTTGACACCCACCCAGAGACTGTCGCAGCCCGCCCAACCTAGAGAGAAAGAGTTAGCCATAGGATAGTAGCAGTGGTTGGAGGAAGCATACCCCAAGTCCGCTTGTTCAAGGTTTCCAGGTCTTCTTTCTTCAAGCTGTTGGCGGCGGCAATAGTAGCGCAGTTATCTCCAGACTTAGTCTCATAGACAGCGCATGAACCGTCAGAGTTGGGCTTCGGCCTAAAGTCAGGCAGGGTGCCTGAAGAGCAGCATACATGCTGGCCGGGTGTAAGACTAGAGCATAGCTTGGGGTTGTTATTATACTTGGTGAAGTCACTTGGGGATATGCCGCATCGCGTTGCAAGGGCGCCACAGCTGTCTCCAGAGATGACACCAATAGCGCGACAGTCACCGCGGGCATTCAAGATTGGCATGTGTATAGCTCTTGTTGTCAAGTTTGTTGTTGTTGTATTTGAAGGAACAAGCACAGGGACTGGCTTGTGGATGCGGATGACGGTACCATTTAGGGTAGATGATTCCGTATAGCTTGATGTGTCGACGCATGTTGCGTTAGCCCATTGCTTGACGGCAGCTTGAGCGGTGCTAAGACCTTTGTTTGAGGCTGCAATGATTCCAAAAGTGTTATCGCCGGTTCTATTATTTCCGCAAACCTGGAGAAGGGCAGCTTTGGATGACTCAATGCCAACTGACATGATCTTCTCCATGAATGGCTTCAATAGGGAGTCGGCCACGCTAGGATTTTGCATGTTTTCGCCAATGTAAACACCCACTGTCGCACCCCCAAAGGCACCGAATAGAATCGTTCTGTTCCATTCCGCAGAGCGTTGTAGATGGCTCTGGATCTTCTTGACAGCGGTGACCGCCTGATAACGAGCTCTCATTCCCTGGGAATTATTGCCGGCAGCAGACAAAGCCAAGTGCGGGATAACATGGTCTTGCTCGTTCTCGGATGGAATGCCAAAACTCGGTGCGGGAGTATAATAGTAGTATGTGCCCCAGGTGTCACAAGTACGGATAATCTGTTTCTCAGACACAGGGATGTCAAGGGAGAAGTCCATAAGGATAGGCCGAGGGCAAGCCTTGAGCTGGTCGAATTCAGCGACCACCGTCCAGTTTGATGGCATATAACCAGCTTCATGGCATGATTCCGGGCATGTTTGTCCTGACAATGGTGGAAGGTCTCGCATGGGAAGAGTAACGGTGGCAAAAGTAGAAGTGAGCAAGCCCGCTAAGGGGAGCCCAAGGCTAAGGCGTACCATAGTTCCCAGGTATGTAAGTATCCAAGGTCTTGTCGGGAAAAGGTGAAATGATTGTAGACAGAATTAACATATCCAGCTTATTGGCATCCCTTTTATATCCAAAGCAAAGGCAGATATTTTTTGCTCCAGGCAGACTGCTGGCGGACTGTCAGGGGTATCGTTACCAGCTAGATGGTATATTATGACACTATGGAGGCCATTGACAACCCGCTGCATGTCTTCCCTCATTCGACGGAGGTCATATCTTCCGTTTGTATTCTAATACCTGCGCCGGATCGATTAGTTGATTGGCCCATTCCCTAGCAGACTATGCACCAGCCCGTTAGGTCACCGGCCAGGCATTCAAATATCACAGCATGTTTAGTCTCAGCGGCGTATTGCGGCAAATAGCATTAAACGGCCTTCGGAGGTATCAGCATCTCAAACAGATAATTCCCCTTTTTCAACTCTTTGATATCCGAGACCTGTATTTAAATTTGTCGGTGGGTAAGACTCAGTTATGAGTACTCAAAGGAGAATTCAAATATCATCCTGACCTGGTCATTGCAAGTTCAACCCAGAGTCAAGATATGCACTCACACGCATGCCTCATCAACTAGTTAACCAACTGCATAGACGGGTCTGATCCACCTGATTGGCCATAAAAGTGCTACTATGTAAGTGTTCAAAACATAATCTCAGCCGCTAGTTAGAGCGGCATAGATTTAAAAACATTCAATAGGTATGAGGGGAATAGTTAGTAGACACTTCATATAGTCTATTATAGGAACACAGCATATAACCCAAACAGATAATACGAGTATGCCTTATGTGTGGGACTGCCGGCATCAGTATGCCTACATATATAATTATAGAACCGCACATATTAATGTCGCGAGCAGCAGGATCCACGCCACCCCGAGACCCGTTGTGCTCCGTAATCCTCCGCTCTTCTTTGTTTCCTTAGGTGGGCAGGGTTGCTTAATGGTCTGCCATTCCCCATCAGGACACCCCATCAATTCCAACATGGCTGCTGAGACATTCGCTGCCAACTCTTTTGCAAATGGCTTCACAAGACACGGGTCTGCCACCGGTGGTAGTGGGGTGCCAGAGCTGTTCACGTAAGGACAGTTGCCATACTCCCGGAGACCGTAGGGCTTGAGAAAAGCGGTGCTATTCGAACAGCGATCAACAGCCGCCTCAATGTCGGGAAGTGGCGCGCCATGAGCTGTGGTGAACTTCACACGAAGGGTGCCCGACATACATGTCTTCTCTACTGGATCAGACCGCGGCACGCCCTCACTACAAGTATGTTGCAGTATAAAGTACCATAGGAGGGTAAATGTACCGGTTGTGCCGTTGGTGAGGTTTGTACCATTTATAGCGAAGAAGTAAGGAGACGATGTAGGCGATGAGCCAGAAGTGTAACCCTCGAGCGGAAAAGTGTACTCGCTATCGATCGGTGGTACTTCTTCGTCGTGAGGCCATATGACCGTCTTCAAATGCAAACCCAGCGGCCAAACATCGATCGGATTTCGTACGGCTATAACAATTGGAAAGTACTGCGTCGGCGCGTAGGTCTCGTTGCGCGGGAAGACAAGGGAGAATTCGAGGCCGTCAAGAAGTCTAGGGTTGGGTTCAAGGTAGTCGATATCCGAGTCCCCTGCCACGAGGGGCAGGAGGAGCATGAGTATGTGCAGTAGAAGCATGTCAGAATTTTCGTATGCCGCCTGTGATCGGGGTGTAGTTTAGGCGTTTGCTTCTCAGAGCGCTAGCATACAACATTTTATATCGAGTAAAGAGCGTAAAAAAGCGTGACCTGCGAGAGGGAATTTTTAAAACACGGAGGCGTGCTTAACCACCAATTATTACAGCACATGGCTCAGATAAGAGAAGGCGAATGAGAGATAGAAACAGACAAGGGGATGAAAGATGTTGGTGAAGTGGAGAGTGTCCGGAGTAGGGCAAACTGCAGGACGTTGTAGGTGGTTGATTCGCTCTTGGCGCGCTTACCCAAAAAAATGCACGGGCGTCCCGATATACTACAGCGCTTCATGGCGATTGGCTGTTCGGCTCGCGCTTGCGATTTCGCCGCTACTAACGTGCATATCTTAATGTCACGTCATGTCATGTCATACCTACATACGCATATACAATATGCATATATAGCTATAGGGGTAGATACAGGGGCCTAAAGGACAGCTGCAGGCACTCTTCATTCGCTCCTATTAAGGCTTGAATAGGTAGTTCCGCGACGCCCGGGAGGTTATACCCCTGAATATGTAATAGAAGTAGCCAGCATTCATACATATAGTAGTCTACAGGGGTTCCCCTGTCTACCCCTGCGGAGCCTATAGAGACTACCTATTAATTCCTCCATGGTCACAGCCTCGAACCAAAACTCGACAACGTTCGGTACGCCCTTGGGTTTTAATGCCCGAGTGTAGCTAGGAAAATGGATTTTACCAATGACGAACTCTCCGATGGCAAGCTTGTGTCCAACCAGAAAAAGGAACAATTTGTTACTGGACTCGCATTCATCTTCCCATATCCAGGACGCAGTTCCTTCCATTACTACCCTAGAACAAGTAAGACGGCCCTCCATCCCAAGAGTGATTATCTCCATCCATTTGGCCTCGTGTGCAATACTAACTCGTTATTCTTTACAGACCCTAAAGCAATTAGATCCAAAAACGTTTTGTACCTACCTTGTAAGATTCTGAGGTTCCCGGCGAGTTAATGCGCTTGACACCGGAGTTTTATTCTACTATGCCTACTAGAAGTGGTTTAATGCTGTGTATTAGGAACAGGGAAAATGACGCCGTCTATAAAGAGTAGGGAACCCCATCGCTGGGTTAAGAAGACTGTTTAAAAGTTTGCCCCCTTTGCCAGTTAATTTTCTGTCCTCTGCCATTTCCATCGCCACTAGCGTTGCAACCATGGTCAGCACTCAACTTATCCTAAGTGCCATCGTCCTTTTCGGCGTCAGCAATACCAGTGCAGCCGCTCTACGTCCGCGTGCCTGCTCTTTTATGTCACCGGCGGCAACTGGTGACACATGTCAGTCATTAGCCTCTGACTGGGGAATCAATGTAAGCCAGTTTATTCAGTGGAACGCTGGTGTAGACTGCAATGCTCTTGTTGTCGGCAGGCAATACTGTATTTTATGGGCAGGAGCTGAGCCTAGCTCTGTGACGACATCCTCAACGCCATCGTCAAGGACCACTTCAACCACTACTTCAACGACTACTTCAATGACTACTTCAACCACTACTTCAATGACTACTTCAACCACTACTTCAACGACAGTATCAAAGACTTCAATGACTACTTCTCCTGCAATGACTTCTCCTGCCACTCCTCCGGGACCCAGCCAAGTTCAAGGCGGAATTGCCACTGACACGTATCACCAGGTTAAGTCAGTGAATAGCTTGTCAGAATATTGTTGATAACATACAAGACTTTCACCTTAA